CATAATTAATTAACCTCTTCTGAAAACATTAGTGTTTGAAAGTGTTTAGTTTCATAATATTTATAAGCTTTGAATCATTTAGTTTTGTAAACTATTATTTCAATTATTGGAATTATATGAGGACTTAAATTATTAAAATAGGGAAATGCATGCTAAAATGTACTTATAACGGTGTTTAATTGTTAAAAAACAAAAATTATGACAAATTGTTCTTTTTTAATTTTCAAGTTATTAAAAAAACATGCAGACCGGTGAAAAAAGGGGTAAATGGGTAAAAAAAAGGATAAATGGGTTCAAAAATGGGTAAACGGGTAAATGGTTATTGTTAAATGGGTAAACGGTTATGGTTAAATGAGTACACAGTTATGGGTATGGTTAACCATTTATAAACGATTATGGGTATAGGTATAACCATTTATGCAATTACCCAACTGGTAAACGGTTATGTGAGTATGAATATAAACGGTTATGGGTAAATAACCGCGGTTACTCGCTCACCATAACCGTTGCCCATCCCTATAACACTACTTAAAGTAACGGGGTGGCTATAAGTTGTATTATGTGTGTGGGCCCTAAGAAACATGTGACCCGGTCTTCATACTCTAGAATTTCTGCACAAGGAGTAGCGTATTCCATTTTTTTTTTTTGAAAAAGTATGATATTCATTAATAAGAAATGGATACTTACATCATTGAAGGGACAAAAGTGTCAACCCGGTCGAAGGTTTTCAACCCGGTCGAAGGGACAAAAGTGTCCCGCACCATCATAATTAATTAGGAATTACTATCCTCAAAGAGAAGATAAAAAATTATATCAGGAGGTTCTTCAAACCAAGTCATAATGTTACCATAACTCAAACTCATACGTGCTAGCCTATGTGCCACCTTATTCGTGTCCCTTCCACTAAATTCAACCTTCCACTTTGGCAATGAATGAACAATTGACCGCGTGTCATTTAGAATGTTTCCAAAATGTGAGGTGTCATCACTTCCTACATTTTTTTAGTCTTGCCATCACCAACAAAGCATCACCTTCAACAACCAAAGCTGGAAATTGCCACTCCTTGACAAACAAAGCCGCATCCCTTGCAGCCATCATCTCAGCCAGCTGCGGGGAACAAATGGCAGTGTGTTGTGTCACCTTTGCTGCTATAAACTCCCCCTTGTCATTTCGAATCACCACCCCAACACCACCAACCTCATGTTGTTCATCCTAGGCCGCATCAAAGTTACATTTTACCCAGCCCAATTCCAGTTTCTTCCATTTCTTTGGTTTGTTGCTGCTGCTTGTTTGATTCTTACCCATGCCATCACTGGAATTCCTGTAACCAACTTTGTGCTCTAGAAACCAACTCCAACGGTTGAAGTGCCTTTCCCTGCCATAAAAACGAGTTTCGTTCCTTCCAAATGCTCCAAATAATCACAAGTAACAAATCAAAGCTTTCACTTGATAAATCACTAGCCAGTCTTGTGAACCAACCACCAAATGTCCCCTAGTGTCTGTTCTACTCCGTAGACCCAACGGGCTTATTAACCAAATCAAAGCCGTTCTAGGACAATTCCTCATCAAATGCACCAAGGTTTTTTCTTCGCCATTACAGAACATATAAGCAGCATCCGTAGTGATTTTCTTTATTTTCACATTATCCCATGTTGGTAATGCATTCATACAACATCGCCACACACAAAACTTTACTTTCTCAGGTACTCGAGCTCTCCACAAAGCCTTCCACAAAAATTTCATCTCGTGTGTAATCGAAGAACCACTGCTTTCTTGTCCATTGACTTCTCTGCCAATCTAGGCACTTTTCGTTGTAAACTTCCCATTTGACTTCGCGGACCAGATTAAAACATCCAATGTCAGAGAGATACTAAGTGGTATGGACCGAATCAATCGAGCTTCCTCAGCCAAAAAAATGCTATTTACGACTTCCATGTTCCATGCAATCCCTCTCTCCACCGAGATCAACTTCTCTACAGTAATGGACTGATCCATTCCCATAGGTATAGGGCTAAGAACTTTGAAAAAAGTTTCCCTTGGCAACCAACTATCACCCCAAATTTTAATAGAAGCACCATCCCCCACTCTCCACCGAGCTCCAACCCTAATTACTTTGCGGGCCTCAGCTATACTTCTCCAACCATAAGATGAATTTTTCTTCATCAGTGTCGAAAGAAAATCAGTTTGTGTATAATATTTGGCTTCAAAAATTTGGGATGCTAGAAAGGATTATTCTTGTATCAACCGCCACCCTTGCTTTGCCAACAAAGCTAGATTAAAGGCATAGATATCCTTAAAGCCAAGACCACCCTCTCCCTTTGGTTTACATAACTTTTTCCACCGAATCCAATATATCCTTCGCTTCCCTTGTTCCTTTCCCCACCAAAATTGTGCCACCATTTGATTCAACTCATTGTAGAAAGTTTTTGGTAGCAAGAAAGTTTGCATAGTGTATAGGGGTACAACTTGGGCTACGGTTTTTATCAATATCTTTTTCCAAGCACTACTCAGAAGACTTACTTTCCAACCATTTAATTTTTTCCACAATCAATCTTTAATGTATGCGAACGTATCCTTCTTCGATTTTCCCACCAGAACCGGTAGGCCAAGATATCGATCATGGAAAATTACCCGCGGCATACCCAAACAATCCACCAACAACTATCCATCATACTTAGACAAGTTTCCACTGAAAGCTACACAACTCTTCGCATAATTAATAGCTTGTCTTGATACATATTCATATGTTTTCAACAAATGTTTCACCTGTAGGCATTCCTGAATCGTGCCCCTGGTGAAAATGAAGCTGTCATCCGCAAACAAAAAGATGATTCACAGTCGGAACGCCCTTACACACTTTGACCCCTCTAATCCGTCCCTGTTTCTTCCAAGCATAAAAAAGAGTTAAAAGACCTTCCGCACATAACACAAATAGAAACGGAGAAAGAGGGTCACCTTGTCGAATCCCCCGCTTCAGGTGAACATAACCCACCAGCTTGCCATTTACCTTAAACGAGTATGAAACGGTAGTCACACACGCCATCATCAAATTAATCCACCTATCCGCAAAGCCCAACTTTTTCATCATTTGTTTGAGGAAACTCAATTCAATACGGTCATACACCTTACTAATATCCAGTTTCAATGCCATCACTCCATCCCATCCAGAAGACTTCTTATGCATATAATAAGCAATTTCCGAAGCTACCAAGCTATTATCTGAAATCAATCTCCCCGGCACAAAAGCACTCTGATTAGTAGAAATAATCTCTGGAAGCACCCTTTTGAATCTATTGGTTAACACTTTGGAGCAAATTTTATAAATGACATTGCATAAACTAATCGGATGTAATTGTGTCATCACTATCGGATCTTTATTCTTCAGAATAAGAGTAACATTAGTGTAATTGATCTTTTTCAACATTCTTCCCGATGAGAGAAGAGCCCGAACGCCGTTGCATACATCATTGCCAACAATATCCCAATGTTTTTGGTAAAAACCCGGAGACATTCCATCTGGTCCTAGAGCCTTAGTTGAATGCATCTGAAAAAGAGCAAATTTTATCTCTTCATCCTCAAACGGTTTCGTAAGGTCCTCATTCATACTCTCGGTAACCCTTGGTTGAACATACTATAGAATTTCCTCTCCATTTGATGAACCCTCGGAGTCAAAACAATTTTTCAAAGTAGCTCACTACTATTTCCTCCAAACCAACTTTATCCTAACGCCATAAGCCTTGGTCATCAAAAACACATACCGTCAATATTGAATTTGGCTTCATTGAAAGTCATGATTATAAGTTGAAATTTGGTTCATGCAACTATTTCCTCACTTACCTTCAATAATCTTTTAATTACAAAGTAGCTTCTACGTGGGGCAATCGAAAAAAGTAGAACTCTTTAAAGAGTTAGGATTTAAAAACACACATTTTTTACGTACATTTTTATGAGACTCACTTTTTAATATTTTTTAAAGCATATAATAGAATTTGTTTAGGTTTGAGAAAATGCTGGTAATTGATGAAGAAATAGTTGCTGGTAATTTATGAAGATACAATTGTGGGTAATTTATGAGGAAACAGTTTTGGATAATTTATGAATCAAAGTTCAACTGAATTACGATACCATCATTGCACCCAAATTCAATATAATTATGATAGTGTCATTGGTCCCTTGTTTTTGTCATTGTAATTAAAAAATTGATCGAGTGTAATTGATTAAAATTTTGTTTTGTGAGCCCTTTTCATCGAAGCTCTTTTATAAATATGAATACTCTAGATTCACAAACGAAATACTTAAGAACAAGTCTTTTTAAAATTTTACTTCATAACTCAGATTGGAGACAAGTGTATCGTGGACTTATATTCATTCACATAATTGTGAATATTATTCATATTATAATCACAAAATTAATCATCGGTTGTGCCCTCATAATTACAAATACATTGAGTATGGTTAACGATTTCACCAATAATTCATAATTAATGGAAAAACAAGGTTTTGATCATATAATGGAAGCAGCATAAAAGGCTATAATCATGAAAAAAAAAATACAACCAAATCACGAATCAAACCATAATACAGTCAAATACAAAACTTTGACTTCCGAAAACAGGCATATAGTACTAAAAAATATAGAGTGAGCTGGATTGGGGACAATTACGGTTTCCTCGCATCCGTCCCCATACATACCCAACTTCTCATTTTCATATAACCGCATTAGAAAATTTCGGTTTCCTCGCATCCGTCCCCATATATACCCAAATTCTCATTTTCATATCTTTCTATCTGTGAGTAATTTCGAAGATTCGGGGACAACCAAAGTCGCTTGTTAAAGTCCAAAATGATAATTATATAATGTTTTAGCTCTTTAGCCTTTAATCATACTTATCTTCTGATTAGGTAAAAGTTAATAAAAAATCTTCTCTCAATCTCATTCCGGCCACCGTCCCCCACTTCCCACTCTCTTACAAAGGTCTATAAATAGGGAGAGCCAAACCACATTATACTACACAGCAATCCTCTCTTACATACAACCTTCAGAAACCATTACTATGCTTCCTTGGTATTAATATTGTTCGGAAAATTATGGCATCCTCAGGGACTTTACTTCTTCTTGGCCTTGTCTTTGCTGTTCTCCTTCTCTCCTCTGAAATCTCAGCTCGTGAGCTAGCTGAGACTACTCCTCAAACCCGTGAGTTTCTTCTCCATTTTTTAACTAAAACATGTTTAATTAGTAAGAAGAGCGCAGGAGTAAAAACACCATGTCCTCAAGTGTATGCCAAACAAAATTGTCTTCCAAACAACTTGAACAATATGTATCTTAATTGGTTGGAGAACGAAATATATATTGCTTCTAAAAACTACTGAATCGATGTAAAAACATGCTGTTAATTATTCATTTTGTATGTACGGCTTGTGCCTTTTGTACGTGCATGCATATCTTAATTATAGACCTTCATATAATTGTTCAGTGATGTATATATATTTCAACATTTTATTTCTTCTCTATTTGTAAAGTTCTACTCTCTTTTTTAACCCCTAGAGGACAGCGTAGAAAAGGCTGGCAACCAAGTTCAGGGCCATGAGCATGGACATGACCACGGTCATGGAGGGCATGGACATGACCATGGTCACGGAGGTCATGGCCACAGGCCATGATGGAAAACTGGGAATTTGTGCTGCAGAGACTCAAACAAAAAATTAGCTAACCTCTTAGCGTCTATGTGTGTTGTAAGAGTCGTATAATATGCAATAAAGCTGTATTGGTTGAGTAGTTTATAAACTCTCAATCATATATAGCCAGGCTTTAAGCTTTATCTTGTATTCTCTTAATCGATCACCTTAGTATGTGTTCTCTTAATCGATCATCTTAGTATGTGTTACGATACGCTTTAATTTTCTCAATAAATATTTGCAAAGTTAAAAATGTCTAGCATTTCAAGTCTACTATTAAGGAGTTTTCTTTGGATACTCATCATTTTGGTGACAATATTTTTTCGATTATTGGGCTTGTGATTCAAATTTGGGACATCTTCTAACATTACGAAGTGAAGTACCACTTCGATACCATTAACTAGTTGGTCCGATCATTATTTGGTTAAAGAATTATTTTGTGCACTGTTGACAAAGGGTTTGGAAGCTCTAGCTATGGTAAAATAAGAAGTTAAGCTGTTGAGCTATACAAAATTAGGTGGTGATTGTATTGTTGAATGGTCCATACTAATTTTCGAATTCTAGTGGATGTATTCGAAACTATTAGTTCTTTTGTTTTTATGCAAACAAATATTATGGAGGCAACAACTTTATAAAATGCATGGGTAGAGATTCTTAATCAATGACGTACAAACCTTTACTTATTTAGAAACCATTCTCAATACTTAAGGAACCCAAAATTCTACCATCATAGGAGATGTATGGACCAAACTGTTACCTAAAATTCTAACCTATTTTGCTACCCTTTCTCGCCACTTTTCCTCTCTAACTCTAAGACTCACTCCAACCCTTGGATTAGAACCTAAAATGTCACCCCCCCACCCCCCCCCCCCCCCCCCCCCCAAACAAAAGGGAAAAAAAAAAAAAAACTTGCTCCAACTCTTGGGCCAAAAATCAGCTTTAGGTTAAAACTGATTTTTGGGTAAATTTAACCCAAGAAACCGACCAAAGTAAAGCCCCCGACCCACTCTTGCGCATTAACACGCCTAGGAAATAGGTGAGCCGCAACCCAGTAACGCGGGAGATGCACGAAATGCGCCAACGCTGACAATGCGAGGGTCCCAGGCTGATGCCAATGTCGGCCACAATCAATTAGCCCAACTACTATAACAATTTAAAAAAAAATATTTAACTCAAGATTCACCAAAAAACTCTATAAATACCGATATCTATTTGTTCAACTATCAGAATCTAAATATTTTTTTAGTTAAAATGTCCATAAAAATAAATTATGATAGTCTACATAAATTTAATTTTTCAAACAATTATTTTAGAAAATAAATTTTGACACACCCCGACCCGGAATGTCCACTTGGACTCCGCACCGAGCCGTGCTGGCTGACACCTGGAAGGTGACAAAACTATAAAGTGTAGTGATGTGGAAATGTGTATAAACTTAAACGTAAAAGTGCCTAAGTAATAGAGTGCACGGTGAGCAGGAATGAACCCATTTCACATGTGATGTTAGAGTATAAGTAAGTACAGTAAGATAGGGTGAGAATTATACCATTGAAGGTAATCATCTACACCAAGATTTGCTAAGAATCCTCGTCGACTCTTTGTAAAAAAATCCTTTTCGAAAACATAATAACCCCTCGTTGTAAAATCATTATAGTTTCCAAAATATACATACTACGTATAGTAAGAAAATTCTTACCGTCACTTGCAAAATCTCAAGAATTCATTATGGCACAATATCTCGTAAATAAGGGTATGACATCCATAATCACATAATCTCACATAAGCAACATATCATATCAGATAGCTCATCGACACATGCTAACACACAAGTTCATGCAAAGGTATTCTGACATGAACATGATTGGGTGTAACAATAATATACGATGTAGTACTACAATCACGTGAAGACTAGTGCTATACATAGCACATACGAGTCGGAGTTGCCCATGGCAACCTGTATGACAGGACTGCCACCTACAATGGATCCAAAGTGAGCGTACGGTGCGATGTACACATACACGTGAAAGACTGGTCCTGGCTTGGGCAAGTACCAACACCAATGTAGCAAACGATGAGCATATAACATCAATATAGTCATGCCACAACCATTCAACAATTCTAATCAATATCGTACTATTCATGACCATAAATATAATCAAGGCATCTCCTTATAGTAAGCTTACCTGTGCATCTTGTAGGATTATTTCATCGTTTCCCAACAATATGGTATTTCTTATAAACATTAATTTAATCATGGCAATCGCATAAAGAATTTATTAATGCTTGTATATATGGAAACTAACCAATATATATAAAGAAAAGACCCACTTACAGATCATGTCATCGAGTTGAACCCGCCTGGTAGCATCGAGAGTCCTTGCGATGCATTTCGCCTAGAAACGAAACCATTTAGGTAAATATAACATGCTAATGAAATTATGCATTTTCGTACAAAGTATGGCTAATAACGGAACTATCCTAAAACAGTTGAATTTTGGAAAACCGATGGCAGATTCGCAATCAGCGCGTTGGATTGCCGATCCGTAAGTTCTTAATGTCTACAAATATTACGTACTATCATTTATTAATGTTTGGTACCGATCCAACGGTCGGATCGTCCATTCATATAATAACCAAGTGGTGGCCAATTAGGCGGTCCCCTACGAACTATATTAAAACATCAAGATTTCACTAAACGGATGTCAATTATGGAATTGGGGCATCAAATTAGCCTAGGATGGTTTGGTGGGGTCTCGGCCCACGCGCTGCTGCACTTGGCGGCCGGCCGCCCTGACTCGTTGAAAAAAATCAACTATTTCCAAAAATTACCAAATTTCACAGAAATGAAGATCTCAATGAGTAGCGCAAGGTTTATACCAGTGGATAAGTCCAATTTGGCTGGGAAAATCCCCAATTGCACTCAAACTTGTCGGAAACCCTAGAAATGGATGGCTTCGATCCATCACCTCCGGTGCTTTGCCACCCCTTCAATTGTTTGTGCTTTGTTCCAAGCCTCAAGAAGAGTCTAATGATGGTGAAGATTGATGAGATTGCATTCAGAAATGGCGGATCGCCACCTACGGACTCACGGGGTTGCCGTCATTGTACAACATGAAACGAGGCCAAATCCCATCGAATTGGAGTGGAAAATTAAAGAAGAACAGCTGGTGAGAAGTTTCCAGGTGGGGGCCTGGTGAAATTAGTCAAAAAATCGCCGAAGGAAATGGCAAAATCTCACGTAAGGTACCGGGTTTGAAACGGGGTCACGGGTCAAGAGGAAAGGACCGAGTTCCTCTCCTTCTCCTTTCCCTCCTTTCCCTCCTTTCTTCCCTCTCTGGTTGGTCACTCTCTCTTTCACTTCTTTTCCGATTGGACCTTACTCTTCTCTTTTCTCTGCTTTCTCTCATCTCTCATTGGTCATCTCCTCACCTCCTTCTTCTGATTGGTCTGCACCCTCCTTAACTCGCATTTCTTTTCCAACTCAACTACACACGTGGCATAACAATTCTTTACTCCAGAAATCTGGAGCCTTCTAGAAAATAATCAATTGACCATTTTGTCCTTGACTTCCTACACTCTTTAAGAAGTCATAGTCTAGTGTTGCTAGGGTTGTATTCCGTATCATTGATATGAACTAAATTGGACTCTAAAATAGCCTTGTAAAACTACCTTGTACTTGAAGGCAAAATTTGAAATGAAGAATATTGACTTGAAGTTTGAGCGTTGTTCATATGTATTCCACCATAAATTAGTATACACCATGAAATTAAGAATGAAGAAGAATGTTGTTGATGATGATGATGTTCTAAAAAAAATTGGTCTTAAGTTATATTTGATCCAAATCTGATGCTTATTTTATATGGATCAAGTTAAATCTAACAAGCCAAATACGGGCAGGATCTGGTAGTCCAATTGTAAATGGATTCAGATATAAACTAAAGTACATCCGTCTACAAATGTAGATATATCCCCTGAAATGCCATCTTAAACTGTTAGTCATGACAAACTACTTATTTTGACTTAGTTGTTGATCATATACAATATCAATTTATTATTCTAAGGAATCACAACTGAAAACCAATTTCTTTTTGGCTTAGTTAATGGTGCTTAATTACATTTTTCACATAATTAGCAAAAGGCATCTACAACTATGACCACATTGCCGCATATTGCGTAGAAACAAATTTTTATGACCTACTAGCTAGGTTAGATGGCTCATTTCTTACTTAATACGTAGTGGTATCAACAGATCATCAAACCAAACAAAGCATGCTTTGATAGAGTTCCAACTACTCGAGGGAATTTGATATGTATTAGGTAAAAAATATTTTTCGTTTACCACTCTACTGTGAAAAAATGTGGGTGTCCAAAGATCTACCCTCTCCTTCTCTTAACTTTGAAGGTCTATAAATAGAGAAATCCAAAACACATGATATTCACTTCCCTCTGCGATCATCTCTTACCTTCATCATTCTATCCCATCACCTCATTTGGTTAATTATATGCAAACATGGCGTCCTCAAAAACTTTTCTTCTACTGGGTCTTGTCTTTGCTGTTCTCCTTATCTTCTCTGAGGTTTCCGCTCGGGAGCTGACTGAGACTGCTCCTACTCAAACCCGTGAGTTTCTCGCTTTCTCAATTAAAATTAATTCTTGTTTCTTTTATTCGATTACGCATTTGTAAATTTTGCTAGGCACATTTTATTCATCATGCATAGCAGGTTTTAAGATGCATGCTACGAATTTTGACCTTAGTTTCCCACCTGTTTTCTTCTCGAACTTAAACATTTTTTGTTGGGAAAACGAGTAACTTGGGAACATCCGGATGGTTAGTCACTTTGCATGCATCGGTAGTTACTGCTACTGCACTTACAAGGCTTAATTTTCAGTTTTTGATATCCAACTTAATTGTTTTCTTTTTCAAGAGGAGAGCGTTGAAAAGTCTACCTATGGTGACCATTATAACGGATACGAGCATAAACATGGATACGGGCACGGACATGGAGGGCATGAGCATGGCTATGGACATGGCTACGAGCACAAACATGGAAAGCATGAGCACGGCTATGGACTTGGAGGCTTTGGACACGGAGGCTACGGATATGGAGGCTATAGACATGGAGAGCATGGCCACGGACATTGGAAGCAGCACGGGTTTGGCCACGGACATTGGAAGCAGCACGGGTATGGCCACGGCCATTGGGAGCCCGGGCACGGCCACGGACATTGGGAACACAGGCATGGGCCCGGCCATCACGGAAAACTAGTAGCTGGTGCTGAAGAGGCTGAATTACAGAATTAGATATATGACCCTTCAATTTGCCTGTAGTACTGAAGTCGTATGCATTGCAATAAAGATTTGCTAGTCAATAAAAGCAGTAGTCCATGAACTGTGCGCTTTGGATCTCACAAGTATCATGCTGCGCTGCGGCAGGTCAAAAAATTTATCATGTAAATAAAGAAATATACTAAAAGTTTTAATACTATATATATGTGCAAGAAAAAGAATAAGAAAAAGAAATCTTGTTTATTCTCTCATCAAAATGAAATTAAAGCAATATTTAAAAAGAAATACGTTTATTTTCAACAATAATACAAGTAAGTGGCATTCCATCCACTAATTTTTTAACATTGCTTTAAATCATTGCCATAATATGAAAATGAACTTGCCCGTACTAATGTAACCATTGACCATAAATAAAAAGCAGATATGTTTAAATGAGCCACAATTAATTAAACCAGACCTAGTACGGGCCTAAATTGGTAAAAGCATTACTCTAGTTAAGGAACATGACAGACCAATCCCACAAATTCACACCATAACTCATGTAGCCCCAAACCCACAAATCCACACCATAGCTCATATCTACATTAAAAAATGGTAATTTCGTACTACCAAATTCTCCCCTCAGTTGCACTTATAGCCAAGCGTACCACTCCTCTCCAAATTTAGAATAGAGTAATTGTTATATACTGCAATATGCGATTTGATTTGTTTTATTTGTGTTGTTTCGAATTAATGTTTGGACCCCAGCTCGTGTGTTGTGTTGTACTATCGAACTTCAGTTTGGAACCTGTATCTATCATTTGCAAATGGCGACAATGAAAAACTTGAACCGGGAAAAGGGAGGGGAAACAATCAAGTGCGTATTTACAAGTAAAATGAATTGATGCTTTAGGGGTGGAGACAAATTGCGGACATATTCCTGTGTGGCCTTTCCCAATTCTCATCTTTTTTTTCCCCAACCAACTGCAGTTGTACAATATAGTAGTGACTAGGGATTTAGCCCGTGCGTTGCCGCGGAATGTCCAACGAATTATAAGTATTGTATATAAGTCTTCAAATACAGGACTAAATGTGTTATAAAAATGGTGTGTAAAAAGTATTTACATAACGTTGTAACAAATCAATATTTGGATAGAATAACATGATGAACTTTATTTTAATCAGGTACGTGAAAGACTATCTAGCAACACAATCTGTCAAGAGGTGTAAGTTCTCTACATACATACATACATACATACATACATATATATACATACATACATATATATATATATATATATATATCAAATTGTCATACTTCATAAAATTAAAGGAATGGGCAATTTAGGGAACCTTGGCTGCCATTTGTCATATCGGACAACTGCTTCAGCCACCCCCACTGGAATTTAGGGTTGAGTGCATTTCATTCAAAAATCCATCAATCTGAAATACGAAAACAAAAACTCAGTTCAAACCCAACATATCCAACAACCCAAATATTATAATAATCTAATCAGACAATAAACAATTAGAGATGAAGCTCTATTACTATAAAGAAATCAGGGGTTGTCTAGTAGAAGCTAGTTGAAGCTTCATCAAATATATAGAGCATCATCAAACAATCAGAGACTAATCTCAATTACCAGAAAGAATTTGGGGCTTGTTTGGTAGAACTATTTGAAGCTTCATCCAATATATAAAGGATGACCAAAGAAGTGAAAAAAGTGGTAATATGTTGTTATAATTGAATCACAATTCATGTGAAATCTTGTTCCTAGATTTCACTGTTATGATTTACGTATTTGAATTATTGAGATTTGTATTATTGTTCAAGAATTTATTTTAATTTGTTTGAATTTAGATTTTTATTACAGTAGTTACGAGGCTTGAAGTTTGGAAATTAATTATTTAAAATTCATAGACCATTTGAGGTCACAATTTATATTTTTGAATAGAGCTCGATCTCAGAAATGCGTAGGCGCAGACCGTTCATGAAACATAGTTATAACGAGAGAGTTATTAACGTTTAAAGTTAGGGGGTATTATTGTAAATTGGCTCTCATCTAGAAGGCTCTAGCAATTTTGGAGCGGTGGGGGGAAATGCCATGAGGGTGCCCAGGATGGAGAGTTGAGGAGAGAAAGGAGAGAGATAGAGGGAGGAAAAGAAAAGAAAAGGAGGAAAGGGGAGAGGTCTCGGCTAATGAGAGGGGAGAGAGGAAAATGAAGGGGCCAATGGCAAAGAAAAGAAAGGAGAGGAAGGGAGAGAGGAGAGACTCACTGGATCCCTTACCCAATCCTCCATTTCGACCCAACCCGAGTTCCATCGACATTCCCAACGGTTTTGCGTCCATTTTTCAGGTGAATTACGGCCTTCCACAGGCAATTCTTCAAACAAAGTCCAAACACGGGATCTCTTTTGACGTATCTTACCTACTCGCATACCTTTAGCCTTTCTCTTTGAAGGACTTGGTGCACTTTTTGTACCTTGCGTATCACTTAGATTGACTGTTGACATTTCCGTGGCCTCAATGTTCTCTTCATCAATATCCATCTGCACTAACCATAAACAAATATACTGTGTAAATGGATAGGAATGTAATAGCCTCAGTGTTTTCTTATTAAGTAATTACTGAGGATTAAAAAACCATGACAAATGAGTTCCTAAGGATTATGATACTGAGGGAAAGAGAAAGTTTGGTTTCTTTGGTAGGGGTTTGAATCCATGTATCCGTATAATGGCATCATTATTCACCAACTCTATACACACAAAGACGAAAAGGAATCCTCCAAAAAGTGTTTAAACAACACCAAAAGCACTTGTTAAATCTGTTGACATAAAAGGAACGAGAAAATGCTTAGAACTTAAATTCCTAAAAGTCTAAAATATAGCAGAAAAAAGAACCAACAAGCACCAAACGGTAATTGCATTCAAACTAATGTTCTATAACTAACAAGCACTAAATTCAAATTTATGAACTTTTAATTCCAAATTTCCAAACCGTGCCTTAAATTCAAACTCATAAATTGGACCTAGTAAATAAGAAGATGCATACCAAAGATTATAGAAATTCCAGATTTAGAGAGAGATAGCATACAAAGTAAAAAGCTTGCATTCAGATTAATGGGTTTTTCTAAGACAATACAAATCAGAAGATTCGAATCAAAATTCGTAAAAAGTCCAAATTTTGATTTCTGGATTTTCAATCTCCACTCAAAATTAAAAAAACCCCAGAGTTGAATCTCTTCCTACCAACCCAAACAGATTTCAAAGATTCAAACCGACGACGTTTGCAAAATCAAACAGATTCCAAAGATAATTTAATTCCGGAGATGGACTCATCGAAGCAACCAGCTTTTTGCCAACAAAGAACATCACATAACAAGTAAAGAATCAAGAAACCAAAATAGAAGAAACCAGAAGAGCAAAAAAGTGAATGAGAAAAGATAAAACCCCGTATTACCGAGTTGACGCTAAATTTCCAAGAAATCAACATAAGGGTCTAAATCAATACTCTGTACACTAAATCAATACTCTGTACAAAACCCATGAACAAAACGCAAAACCCATTATCCAAAACACAACCAAAAATCTAATCTGCAGAAACGAAAAGTAATCAAAATGAAAGAAGAGGTGGAAGGAAATCGGAGCTTACCAGAGAGAGAGTGGTGGAGTTCAGTAAAGTTTTTGAGGGAAGAAGATGAGGGAGATAACCGGAGCTTGAAGGAAGGAGCACAGGCTGCACAGCGATCTCAGTCTCAGAGAGCAATGGCGTGTGAGGCAGCGAGAGAGGTGAGGAACGTAAGGGCTGATGGCTGAGGTCCTGAGGTTTTGAATTAGGGCTATTGAAATTACACAAAAATCCTTACTAACGGGTCTTAACGGGTGGTTAACGGGTTTCGCGGGTTCACCCAAACTGACCCGTTATGTAATGGGTGACTAACGGGTTGACCCGTTAACTACCCGACCCGTTAACCACCCACCCGAATACTAATTTTAACGGGTCGGGTCGGGTCGGTTTAACGGGTTGGGTTAAAAATGCCAGGCCTAGTCACGGGGGGCAAGGAGGTCATGGCCACGGGCCATGATGGAAAACTGGGAGTTTGTGCTGCAAAGACTCAAACAAAGAATTAGCTAACCTCGTAGAGTCTATGTGAGTTGTAAGAGTCGTATAATATGCACTAAAGTTGTATTGGTTGAGTAGTTTATGAACTCTCTCAATCATATATAGGCAGGCTTTAAGCTTTATCTTGTATTCTCTTAATCAATCATCTTAGTATGTGTTCTCTTAATCGATTACCTTAGTATGTGTTGCGATGCGCCTTAATTTTCTCAATAAATATTGCAAAGTTAAAAATGTCTAGCATTTCAAGTCTGCTATTAAGGAGTTTCTTTGGATACTCATCATTTTGGTGACAATATTTTTTTTTATTATTGGGCTTCTGATTCAAATTTGGGACATCTTCTAACATTAGGAAGTGAAGTACTACTTCGATACCATTAACTAGTTGGTCCGATCATTATCTAGTTAAAGAATTATTTTGTGCACTGTTGACAAAGGTTTTGGAAGCTCTAGCTATGGTAAAATAAGAAGTTAAAGCTGTTGAGCTATACATTACAAACACACGCCATGAATGAGGTGGTGATTGTATTGTTGAAAGGTCCATACTAATTTTCGAATTATCTAGTGGATGTATTCGAAACTATTAGTTCTTTTGTTTTTATGCAGACAAATATTATGGAGGCAACAACTTTTTAAAATGCATGGGTGGAGATTCTTAAAAAATGTCACCTCCCGGCTCCCCTACCCCAACCCGCCCCGAAAAATAAAATAAAATAAAATAAAAAATTTGCTTCAACTCTTGGGCCAAAAATCAGCTTTAGGTTAAAACTGATTTTTGGGCAAATTTAACCCAAGAAACCGACCAAAGTGAAACCCCCGACCCACTCTTGCGCATTCATGATGCGCCCAGGTAATAGGCGAGCCGTAGCCCAACAACATGCGCACGGAATGCGCCAAGGTTGACAATGCGCAAGCCCCAGGCTGACGCCAATGTCGGCCACAATCAAATAGCCCAACTACTATAACAATTTAAAAAAAAAAAATATTTAACTCAAGATTCACCCAAAAACTCTATAAATAACTATATCTATATCTATTTGTTCAACTATTAGAATCTAAATATTTTTTTAGTTAAAATGTCCATAAAAATAAATTAAGATAGTCTACATAAATTTTATTTTTCAAAAAAATTATTTTAGAAAATAAATTTACCTAAGCTCATTCCTTAGTAATCTCAGGTTAAAATTTTAACCCATAAGGGTTGGAAAAGAAAAGCTCTTTAAGGCTTAAAACCTAAATTTATGAGTTAAAAATTTAAGGTTTTAATCCAAGGGTTAGAAATGGTCTAAGGGCTTAGCTTTATAATTATGCATTTCTTATCTTTTTGCAGCATTGAGGCATGCCCGAGCTATGTGTAAGTTCAAATTACCTAAAAATAAGGGGCTTAAGAATATCGGTATTATTTGTTAGGATAATGCTAGGGAGACTAAATTTTTAAACCAAATTTGCAAACCAAATGATGTGTTACCAATAAAAAATAAACACGTTAATCGATACTTAATTAATAATCCAATAATCAGCCACCATATCATTTGGTTTAAAAAATTGATCTTCCTAGCATTGTCCTATTCGTTAACATTGCTTAGTGTCATGATTTGAATTGTAACGCAACGCATATGCGCTGGTGATACATAGCATTTACTCTTGCTACATTCCATTACAAATTCAAGTATTCAATCACAACAAAATTGACACAATTGCTGGTACACTCCTTAAGAAGTCATATTCTAGTGTTGCTAGGGTTGTATTCCGTATCGTTGATATAAATCCCAATTGAACTCTAAAATAGCCTTGTAAAACTACCTTGCACTTCAAGGTAGAATTTGAAATGAAGAATCTTGACTTGAAGTTTGAGCATTGTTCATATGTATTCCATCATAAATTAGTATACACCATGAAATTAAGAATGAAGAATGAAGTCGTTAAGGATGATATTTAAAAAAAAAAAAATTGGTCTTAAGTTAGATTTGATCCAAATCTGATGCTTATTTCATATGGATCAAGTCAAATCTAACAAGCCGAATACGGGCAAGATCTGGTAGTCCAATTGTAAATGGATTTAAATATGAACTAAAGTATATCCGTCTACAGACGTAGATATATCCCTTGAAATGTCATCTTATACTATTAATCATGACAAACTACTTATTTTGACTTAGTTGTTGATCATTTACAATATCAATTTATTATTCTAAGGAATCACAACTGAAAACCAATTTCTGTTTGATTTAGTTAATGGTGCTTAGTTACATTTTTCACATAATTAGCAAAAGCCATCTACAACTATGATCACTTTGCCACATATTGCGTAGAAACAAATTTTGATGACCTACTAGTTAGGTTAGATGGCTCATTTCTTACTTAATACGTAGTGGTATCAACATATCATCAAACCAAACAAAGCATGCTTTGATAGAGTTCAAACTACTCGAGGGAATTTGATATGTATTAGCTAGGTAAAAATAGTTTTCGTTTACCACTCTACTGTGAAAAAAATGTGGGTGTCCAAAGATCTTCCCTCTCCTTCTCTTAATTTTGAAGGTCTATAAATAGAGAAAGCCAAACCACATGATATTCACTTCACTCTGCGATCATCTCTTACCTCATAATTCTATTCCATCACCTCGTTTTGTTAATTATCAGCAAACATGGCGTCCTCAAAAACTTTTCTTCTACTAGGTCTTGTCTTTGCTGTTTTCCTTATCTTCTCTGAGGTTTCCGCTCGGGAGCTGACTGAGACTGCTCCTACTCAAACCCGTGAGTTTCTCGCTTTCTCAATTAAAATTCATTTTTGTTCTTTTATTCGATTACGCATTTGTAAATTTTGCTAGGCACATTTTATTCGTCATTAGCAGGTTTTAACATGCATGCTACGAATTTTGACTTTAGTTTCCCACCTGTTTTCTTCTCGAACTTAAACATTTTTTGTTGGGAAAACTAGTAACTTGGGAACATCCGGATGGTTAGTCACTTTGCATGCATCGGTAGTTACTGCTACTGCACTTACAAGGCTTAATTTTCGGTTTTTGATATCCAACTTAATTGTTTTCTTTTTCAAGAGGAGAGCGTTGAAAGGGCTACCTATGGTGACCATTATCACGGATACGAGCATAAAAATGGATACGGGCACGGACATGGAGGGCATGAGCATGGCTATGGACATTGGGAACATGGCCATGGCTACGAGCACAAACATGGAAAGCATGATCACGGCTATGGACATGGAGGCTATGGACACGGAGGCTACGGATTTGGAGAGCATGGCCATGGACATTGGAAGCAGCACGGGTATGGCCACGGACATTGGGAGCCCGGGCATGGCCACGGACATTGGGAGTACGAGCATGGGCACGGCCATCACGGAAAACTAGTAGCTGGCGCTGCAGAGGCTGAATTACAGAATTAGATATATGACCCTTCAATTTGCCTGTGGTACTGAAGTAGTATGCGTTGCAATAAAGATTTGCTAGTCAATAAAAGCAGTAGTCCATGAACTGTGCGATTTGGATCTCACAAGTATCATGTCGCACTGCGGCGGGTCGAAAAATTTGTCATGTAAATAAAGAAATATACTAAAAGTTTTTTTTTTGTCAAAATTTGAATATTATTAAATTCGAATCGAAATGTTTACATTAAATGCCAGAGTATTAAACAACCACTCTGGTTTAAAACCATCCCAAGAATGACTACCTTCCACACGTGTGACATAAGAAGCCACAAGGTGCGCTGTCTCATTACAGGCACGAGGAGCATATAAGAACTCAATAGCATCAAAATGTTGCTTAAGAAGATTAATATCCCATAAGATTCTATCTAAACCTGCCTTTGGTTGTAACTGGCCATGAATCATGTCAACCAAAACCTGAGAATCGGTCTCCAGCAGAACAGACTCAAAGCCTTTCTCCACACAAGACAACAAAGCCAGTCGCATTGCTTCCGCTTCCACCATAAGACTTGAGACACACGGAATTTGTCCAACACCTCCAGCACCTTTAAAGATGCCCACAAAATCCCTTGCCACCCAACCAACACCACCCATACCATTATGACTGCACCATGCTCCATCACAATTAATTTTAGGGTTTTTTAGATATAGGCCCTTGAAACTCCTATTTTCCAAATAAAAACTCACCTAAATTTAAACATTCAAATAAAACCCAAATTTCAAATAAACTGCCATGTGGACAAATATATGACCAACTATTACAATACATTTACAACTTATGCCACAAAATCCTAATTCGGTCAATAAATGTTATTACTCATCCTAATTATGATGAGCAATTAAATCTATATGGATATTTTACCTTTCTTGTATCATAAATATTAGCAACATATATAAATTAATTTACCAAATTATAAAAAAAAAAAGACATATCTTGTACAGAAAAAATAATATTGTTTGAATCATGTAATTACCTACATACAAATTAATTTACCTACTTGTCACATCCCGGCCCAAGCCCCCATCACATCCTGGGCACGACTCCGCGTAGCACGATATTGTCTGTTTTGGGCCTCGACCACACCCTCATGGTTTTTTTTTCTGAGAACTCACACGAGAAAATCCTAGGATAGGCCTAAGTGCAGTCCAGCAGGCTAAGTATTAATTATACAAAACCTAAAAGAGATTCCTACATTAATTGAAGTCTGTCAGAACCTAGGCTCTGAGTACTTGCATTACTACTTTAAACACCTCTACACACTTTTATGGTTATCTTACTGTAAATTAGTTAGTTTTGGTTTTTAATTACTCACATTTTCTTATCACTATCACTTCCGCACGACGCACATGGCTACGTCATCTTCACATGACGGCCAGCATGCCTCGATTTAGGTCAAGGTGTGTCATACTTATAAAATATTATACTAATTTACCTGCATTTTGAATCATGTAATTACCTACATACAATTATTATACTAATTTATGTACTTGTAAAATATTAAATTATTTTACCTACTTGTAAAATATTATGCTAATTTACCTACATTTAAATTAATTTACCTATTCCAAAAAATAAAAAATTAAGTGATATTACATAATGTTCGAATGATGTGGGTTTGTGCTTGTAGGCAATTAAATAAACTTTTAATCTAATGCACATAAATCATGTAGGTGAATTAGAGCATTTTGGAAGTAAATTAGACCTTTTAAATTTTGGTTTGATGGAATAGGTAAATTAGACTATTTTGAAAATTGCGCAGAACATATAGTTTTTGTCTTGTGTATTGGAGATTGGAGTATTAGCTGAAGTTGTTTTAGGTTTATTGTTGTGTTTGTAGGTAAATTGACTTTTATATTTAATGCACAAAATTATGAAATTAGTATTATTATTTTTTAATCAGCACGTTATATAACAATTTGAAAGTTAATACATTGAATATACAATGAATGGCATGAATTATTTTGTAAAATACATAAAATTAATTAAATATATATAATAAGTAACTGATCCAAAAACCATCCAAGTATTAATAGGGGTAGTTCAGGCATTCGGAAAATACACAATTTGAAAAGTAAAACTTCATTAAAGAATTTGTTTATTTAGAGGCTAGTCAATGGGCTTCATTCAAGAAAACAAAAGGTGATGGATTTTAGTAGATGAAAATATAGTTTCAAGGGGTAATATCAAAATTTTAGTTAATTTTAACAGTTCCAAACGGTGGTTTGATCCACCCAAGAAAAAGAATAAGAAAAAGAAATATTGTTTATTCTCTCATCAAAATGAAATTAAAGCAATATTAAAAAAGAAATACGTTTATTTCCAACAATAATACAAGTAAGTGGCATTCAATCCACTATCTTTTTAGCATTGCTTTAAATCATTGCCATAATATGAAAATGAATTTGCCCGTACTAATGAAACCATTGACCACAAATAAAAAACAGATATGTTTACATGAGCCACAATTAATTGAGTAAGACCTAGTACATGCCTAAATTAGTAAAAGCACTACTCTAGTTAAGGAACACGACAGATCAAAACCACAAATTCACACAATAAATCATGTAGCCCCAAACCAACAAATCCACAACATAGCTCATATCTACATTAAAAGAAATGGTAATTTCGTAACTAAAACCAAATTCTCCCCTCAGTTGCACTTATAGCCAAGCGTACCACCCCTCTCCAAATTTAGAATAGAGAAATTGTTATATACTGCAATATGCTATTTGATTTGTTATATTTGTGTTGCTTCGAATTAAGGTTTGGACCCCAGCTCGTGTGTTGTGTAGTACTATCGCACTTCAGTTAGGAACCTGTATCTATCATTTGCAAATGGTGACAATGAAAAACTTCAACCGGAAAAAGGGAGAGGAAAAACTCAAGTACGTATTTACAAGCTAAATGAATTGATCCTTTATGGGTGGAGACAAATTTGCAAACATATCCTGTGCGGCCTTTCCCAATTATCATCTTTTTTTCCCAACCAACTTTAGTTCTACAATATAGTAGTTACTAGGGATTTAGCCCGTGCGTTGCCGTGGAATGTCAAACAAATTATAAGTATTGTATATAAGTCTTCAAATACAGGACTAAATGTATTATAAAAATGGTGTGTAAAAAGTATTTACATAACGTTGTTACAAATCAATATTTAGACAGAATAACACGATAAACTTTATTTTGATCAGGTATGTGAAAAACTATCTAGCAACACAATCTGTTAAGAGATGTAAGTTCTCTATATACATATACATATATATATATATATATATGTATATCAAATTGTCATACTTCATAAAACTAAAAGGATGGGCAATTTAGGGAACCTTGGCTGCCATTTGTCATATCCGGCAACTGCTTCAGCCATCCCCACTGGAATTCAGGGTTGAGTGCATTTCAATAAAAAATCCATCACTCTGAAAAAAGAAAACAAAAACTCAATTCAAACCCAACATATCCAACAACCCAAATATTATAATAATCTATCAAACAATAAACAATTAGAGACGAAGCTCTATTACCATAAAGAAATCAGGGGTTGTCTGGTAGAAGTTAGCTGAAGCTTCATCAAATATATAGAGGATTATCAAACAATCAGAGACTCTCAATTACCAAAAAGAATTTGGGGCTTGTTTGGTAGAACTATTTGAAGTTTCATCCAATATATAAGGGATGACCAAAGAAGTAAAAAAAAGTGGTAATATGTTGTTATAATTGAATTACAATTCAAGTCTTACTCCAAGATGCACAGCATGGCATGTGATGGTGATTTTTATCACTTGTAAAACAAGGGTTAAACCATAGAAAATTCTTGCAAGAGAACAAGTGTTTTTAGTATAGAATGGCTCAAGCAAGGTCGATCTCCTCAGGGACTGATATAAACAATTTACGAGTTTTTGTGTATTTAACTTATTTAACTCTAAGAACTACACTAATTTGACGAAACTAAATACTACTGGATGTGACTTAAACAAATATCTAAAATGGGAATTGGCTTATAGGAATAATGATCCAACTAAACAAAACAAGTAAATATATAAACTCAAGATAATACAAATAATTGAAGAAAATTAGATTGACAAGGTGCTAGAGTTCAACCTTTACCAACAACACTCCTACGAAGCTCTTCCAATTGCTTAAGTAATCGAAAACACATATGCTTTGAAGGTTGGGTTTTCCTTGTGTATGTTTTACTTGTGACATTCAAGTTAAAACGCATACCACTACATGCAATTTATCCATGACATTTGGATTAAATATAAACATGAATGATTCATTAATCTTGATGAAAATCCTTTTGTTAAACCATGTAATCCCTAAGAGTATGATATTTACCTTAGGAGAAATTACAATCCTCAATCACAAGAAGCATAACCAATTTTAACGTGACATTCGTTCAAAATTGCATCCAATGACTTTTCTAAGCATCCTAATGGTGATCAATCATCAAGACACATAGATAGTTTAATTTAGAGATTGAAAATATCAAAGCAAGCATGTAACAACACTTAAGCAATTGAAAGAGAAATCTACGTAATCATGTTGCGGCTCATGGCCTCACTCTAGCAAAAAGAAATTAGTTATACATAATTATTTGAATACATAAGAAATTATCCATGAAAAAACAAAGAAAGAAGACACCATTTTTTACAAGACGAGCTCTCCGTTCCTTTGCTCTCCTCTGCTCCTGACTTCCTCCCCTCTGCCTTTCAATCCCTCTTCACTTCTTTTTCTCTGCCTTTTATTGCCTTCAACAAAAGGCAATCATTGCCAAAACCAACCAAAGCTATAAGTGGAAGACCAACCAAACTCCACTTCATAGTGGGTACCCCATGATCTCCTCTTTTCTACCATCTTTTCTTTCCCACTTCCGTGTGTGCTCCTCCTCTTTTGCTCTCTTTTGCTACTTTTCTGCTGCTCCATTCACTCTCTACCGTGTCCTCTCTGTCTTCCCCACCTCCACTTCCGTGTGTTTTCCTTGCCTTTAACCAAAAGGAAGCTCTTTTCCAAGTCACTAAGGCCACAAGTGGAAGACAAGCCTCACT